GTCGCATTTTATTATTTCATTCAGAAATAGGCCTAATGCCGACGCAAAATGTTTACAAACATTATAATAAACACTGTAAACATAGCTAGGCTATTTTAGTTCCCCTCACTCCACAACAAATCCTTTCAATTAACAGTATTTAGAAAAGTACAAGAATTAAAAATATAAGAAGCTATAGCTATGCAAACGACAAGCCAAAATTAATTCATTTAGGCTAAACCGAAACTGAAACAAACGTTGGGTCTCTTATTTGACACAAAATCAAATGTTTCCGTATTCACCATGCATTTGAATGCCAAAATATTATTTATTATGTAGCCTACTTCACTCACGTTCCAATATTTACGTAAAACAAAATGTTTTGCATAACATCATGGCGGTACGGTGATAACGCTTAACGGCACAGACTTTACTACTAGGGCTGTTGCGATAAACACAATATCGCAATACCGCGCTATTGACGAGCAAACCACAGAGGAATGCAAGAACCGCAGCAACAGCAATTTTTGCGTGTTTTCCTTTTTGCCCTTCTCGTTTTACACTTCATGCATATGGACTGAATATTAAACAAGTTAGTAATGATAACATAATGTGTACCATGCTGATTTGTAGAGGCTCCGTAGATTTGCACTTAACAAGCCTAAACAGACAGTGAATGAGAGAGAGATCGACTGAGCGCGTGCAATTACTTGCGTCTGTCCTGCTATTGAGCCACTCAAAATTACCGCAAGGGAAATTTCCTCACCGCGACAGCTCTATTTACTACATATTTGAACTAAGCAATGTTTATTTCCATATGTTTGACTGACTGTATTTTATTATGATAATGAACAGGCTGCATTGTCAAGGTAGCAAAGCTTAACTGTGTGCGCGCATGTGGCGCCGGCGCAACCACTTGAATTTTTTCCTTCTAACAGTGGAAGCAACTACTCCTTTTAGTCATAAAGATAATCAGAATTGTAAAAGGTTTGCTTGTGTACATTCACAATAAAAACAAATCTTTGTGCTTTTGTAAAATAAGCCTAAAGAAAGATAGGATGCCGCTTTCTGCTGTCTGTTTCCTTTCGCGCAACACAAAAATGAACCGAAACTCTGCATACTAGGCTACTTGTTGCACAGTTTTTCTTTCGTTTTCTCAATTTTTTAAGTAAAAATATATTTCTCGTATAGGCCTATTTATTATTTTATATATATATATATATATATATATATATATATATATAAAATCTAGCTTTATGATGTTTTTCTCCACTCGCAGGTGCGTGATATGACCATGTGAATCCTCATGTTCTGTTGTTTGCTGCTTTTTGCACATGTAAAATTAATCCCCGGGAAACAAATGTTAGTATCTTTAACGGTTCACAGACACTTATCCTTTCTAATTTAATTCAATTCTAATTTAAAATAATCTTGTCGGTTAACAGTTAATAATCGGTTAACGAGCGTCGGTTGGGAAAAATAACCGAAATGAACATCCCTAATACTAATATATATGGTCTTATTTTCTTCTTTAAACAATCAAAAAAATGTTGTGGCCTTTAAATCTTCTTTATTTTTGACAACAGCCGGTTTATAAGCACTTCTCAAGTATGGGAAGAAGCATGTTGCGTCCCAAAAGCAAAAGTGTCGCTCTAAGACACTGAAAAAACCGGATCAGGAGGTATACACAAATAAAAGAAGAGTTTTACTCTGAAACATGTCGCACATATTTAATTAAATCGCATTGTTCGCTATTTGATAATCACACTGAGCTATAACGCAATTTCTGTTTTATTTTGATTAATCGTGCATTTACCACACCTGACTCGACTCAGGGCACATTGCATTGTGGGATTACAGTCTCATGCAGTGTGCTAGATGTATACACTACATTTTAGCATATGCATTAGGTGATTCATGTAATATATAGCACATAGAGAAAATGTACACAGTATGCATTGCATACTGCAAAAAATAACATGAGATTAAATCATTATGAACACAGCTCAACGTAAAAACTCAAAATAAATAGGCTAAAATAACATGAAGAGATTTAAACGTGAAGGAATCGCTCTTCCTGGACAGCCTTTTATTCATCATTGTGTGAGGTCTGGATTAAATTACCTGCTCATCCTTTTGTTCGTACAGAAGGGCCTCTGTTGACACATCCCCTACAAAACTGCTGTCTTCACACTCCCACTCTGAGCCAAGGTCAAGCACAGTGTTTGCACAAACCAAGGTTAAAAAATAAAGTGATAGGTTTCCCGGTGCAATGACTATTTTAAAACGCAGCTCCTGTACTCTAAGACATGGCATGGAGTGGCTTACAGTTACAGCTGAGACATGTGCATGGAGGATACTAATCATTAACAAGTCAATTAAAGTCAGATGAAAAGACTGGTGTGAGTCACGACTGTCAACTTCAAAATGTCACAGGAACATGTGTCAAACATGAAGAACTGCAGCTATGTTCAAAATATTCTTTACTGTATATACAGTACACTCCCATTTTAAGTCTAAACTCAAATTAAACCAAAAAAAAGTTTAACATTTAAAAGTTTGAACATCCATGTATAGATAGATCGATGGTTCTGATAATATATCAATACGACTATAAAATATGACTACTAAACAGTACATTTATGTTTAAAATATTTTTATTTAGTAATAATAATAATAATAATATTCATTATTATTACTACTACTACTACATCTACATAAAATATTAAAGAAAATGTAATAAGAAATATTATTATTGTCATTTAAATACATATACAAAACTTGAGAATAAAAAAAACAATATAATCATTTTATTTAACAGTAAAACTGTAAATTTACAATACTAATATGTGTCCTTACCTTATTATTCCCAAAATTGTCGATTATGTCAATATGACAATATATATTTTATGTTCTTTAATATTTTAGTCATCATTATTATTACTGAATATAAATATCAAAGAAAATAAATAGGAAACATGACTATTGTAATTTCACTGTAAAATTACAAAAAATTTACATAATTTTTTTAATTTACAAAAAAATTATAATAATTTATTTAACAGTAAAACTATAAATTTACAATTTATTTATTTCCAAAATTGTTCTGATTGTACAACAATATGACTACAAAACAATGTTTATTTTGTAATTATTACTATTTTTATTATTATTACTAATTAAAAATATTAAAGAAAATATTACTATTTTGTATTCATAAATATTTTATTAGAAGTACTAACAGCAATATATGACTATTGTAAATTCACTGTAAAATACACAAACTAGAATAGAAATAATTATTTTACAATAAAACTGTATATGTACAATACTAATATTTATGGCTGTCTTATTATCTTCATTTTCAAATGTTAAACCATCAAGCTTTTAAGTTGCAAACTCTGTATGCTCGTACGCAAATATTACCTAATAGTACCACAGAAGCGCCGTACAAACTAAGAGCACATTTAATAATATTAAGCTTAGGCCTGTATCCCCGGAGAGAGGCGACACAAAGCCTTTAGGACCGGAGCTTTACTTGACACTGCCGAGGCCGGCCTGCCATCAATTATTGACTAAATCCTCATGAAGAGAAGTGCTTTTAGTAAACATTTCCTCAACACAGCACATATGAAGACAATGCAATGGTGAGAGTTAAATATTCATGACGATAAGTAATGATGTTGTCATTTCTTTTTAATTCAAAAGAACGCCCGATGCCGTTTGTCCAGAATAGCAGATGGCTTGGGTTCCTATCATAATTAAGTGATCTATCTCCGATAGTGTTTTAGAATGACACGACGCATGCAAGTTAGGGCCCAAAAAATAGAAAATCAGCAGAGGGATGTCTGTGGCCATCATTTGACCCCTAGGGACGGGTGGCACAGCATTTGTCGCCTACCTGGTCTGTGACCCGCAAACACACAGCCTGTAGTGCCGAGGTTCTGTGCACCACCTTCACCATCTGTCCATCTCACCTGCTGTGTCGTTACCGGCCTAAAACGCCTCCCGCTACACCAACCTGCCTGTAGGTGTGCTGCCAATATGTAAAGCATCTGGGTGGAGCGCTCTATCATGATGCTAATGCAAAAGGTATTGTAATGCGACAGGCAAAACCCCCTCCCATGCTGCATGGTGTATGTGGAGCAACTCGGTTTCAGCTTAGATCCCTAAAAAGACAAACAAGGAAAACAAGCATGTGTTTCACACACACAGAGAGATACTAACGTGATAGAAACATCTCCTGAAGCAGATCCTGTGGTCTCAGGAGACAAAATTCAGAGTTTGGTATTCACAACAAATAACTTTACAAACCAAAGAGTCACAATGATCGCTGTGACAGGCAACTCTGAAACACCGGTGTCTCAAATGCATATATCTGTGAAATTCACTTAACAGCATCTGGCTTGATCTAGTAACAGCTGTACTATATAATGCCACACATTGCACTCACCAGATCAGACCACATTCAAACCCCTGTGCATTGAGGAAAAACTGAGAGTGCACCAGCTCAAACTGAGATTCACTGTCTAGCTGTTTATTTCACACATATTTCAGACAATAACCACATAGCATGGGAGTAAAAGCATGCAGAAGCCAAAAGCAATTCAAAAACCCTGATTGAGTCGATTTATAGAGTAATTTCTTTCTTTTCACACACATTTTTTAAAGACCGACTGATCACCCAATTCACGCTCCAGCAGGATGCATTTCAACTGTAAGCTCGTGTGCATGGCTTCATCCTTCCTATATTGAATCATTTGAGTGCACCGCACATTTATGACAGATTATTACTAATCTGACAGCTGGAATAAAGAAGTTAAACGCAAAGAAAAGCAGGAAACGACTGCACAGGGCCATTCAAATCACCAAGCATGAGTGAGAACGAAGCCTTTTCAGTCTTGGATCCCACTGAATATCGCTACACACATGTGCACATACAAAAATAATCTAAACATAGCATAGGAAAAGGTATTAAGGCGATAGAGATCATACAGACAGCTCTAATGATTCGTCCTCACCTTCCACTCCGGCTGCCCGAGGTTGTTGATCTGTTGGCTGGATTTGATTCCGTGTTCGGCTTTCCTTGGAAGAAAATCCCCTCGAAACGTTCAAAAACAAAAGATGAAGATCTATTTCGAGCTCTGCTGGGTTGAACTGGATACAAACGCAGCCGTTTCTGTCTTTTCTCGGATATCTAAGGTTACCTCAGGAATCGGAAGCCGTGCGAGTCCGTTAAAACTGGATCATATTATTTGTGAATGCGTCGGATTTCTATTTATATGATCCATATGTTGTGGAATAAAACGCCCTAAGCTTTCTGTCTCCCAGCATTCGTGTGTTTTAACGAAATGTTTTTTGTGTAAATCCAAAGAGTCGCTGCTGCTGCGCGCGCGAGTCTGCTCGACTGCATTCCTCCCTCTATTGCACAACGAGTCGCTATAATTTATTCATGAGATCATGGGGATGGAGGCGCTCTGTCGGAAGGAAAGGCCGTTTTTCTCTTTCTTGCTTGCTTGCGTTCGTTCTTTCTTTCTCTCTCGCTCGCTCGCTCTCTTTCTTTTTGTCACTCACCCCCTCATCGCCCTCCCCAGCTGACTGACTTCCCCTCGAACGCGAGACTCGATTAATAGAGCGTCGAGCGATCGAATGAACGAACGAGACTGTGTTGGGGAGGGTGACGATTGTGCTGCGCTCGATGATGAATGAAATGGGGATTCTTCAACGAAGGGCACTTTAATCTATAATAAAAATATTATCACACGTATCTGCAAATTTAACCTTTCACCTTGAGATATTGGAATCATTTAAAGTGATTCATTTTCTTTAAAATCCTTCTAGATGTTATTTTAGTATTATTTATATACTATTATAGTAGGCCTATTTATTAATGTCTTTTTTATTTTTTATTTTTAAAGAACAATAACACACAATAAAGCAACATTAAAATAAGAAAAGAAAAAGATAGAAGGATAAACTACAACAAACAAAAAACAATTGCCAGGGGGAGGAAAGTATAAAACTTCAAAACAAAAATACAAGATATACATACATACACTTGTACGTACAGGTGCATCTCAATAAATTAGAACGTCGTGGAAAAGTTCATTTATTTCAGTAATTCAACTCAAATTGTGAAACTCGTGTATTAAATAAATTCAATGCACACAGACTGAAGTAGTTTAAGTCTTTGGTTCTTTTAATTGTGATGATTTTGGCTCACATTTAACAAAAAACCCACCAATTCACTATCTCAACAAATTAGAATATGGTGACATGCCAATCAGCTAATCAACTCTAAACACCTGCAAAGGTTTCCTGAGCCTTCAAAATGGTCTCTCAGTTTGGTTCACTAGACTACACAACCATGAGGAAGACTGCTGATCTGACAGTTGTCCAGAAGACAATCATTGACACCCTTCACAAGGAGGGTAAGCCACAAACATTCATTGCCAAAGAAGCTGGCTGTTCACAGAGTGCTGTATCCAAGCATGTTAACAGAAAGTTGAGTGGAAGGAAAAAGTGTGGAAGAAAAAGATGCCCAACCAACCGAGAGAACCGCAGCCTTATGAGGATTGTCAAGCAAAATCGATTCAAGAATTTGAGTGAACTTCACAAGGAATGGACTGAGGCTGGGGTCAAGGCATCAAGAGCCACCACACACAGACGTGTCAAGGAATTTGGCTACAGTTGTCGTATTCCTCTTGTTAAGCCACTCCTGAACCACAGACAACGTCAGAGGCGTCTTACCTGGGCTAAGGAGAAGAAGAACTGGACTGTTGCCCAGTGGTCCAAAGTTCTCTTTTCAGATGAGAGCAAGTTTTGTATTTCATTTGGAAACCAAGGTCCTAGAGTCTGGAGGAAGGGTGGAGAAGCTCATAGCCCAAGTTGCTTGAAGTCCAGTGTTAAGTTTCCACAGTCTGTGATGATTTGGGGTGCAATGTCATCTGCTGGTGTTGGTCCATTGTGTTTTTTGAAAACCAATGTCACTGCACCCGTTTACCAAGAAATTTTCTTCATGCACTTCATGCTTCCTTCTGCTGACCATCTTTTTGAAGATGCTGATTTCATTTTCCAGCATGATTTGGCACCTGTCCACACTGCCAAAAGCACCAAAAGTTGGTTAATTGACCATGGTGTTGGTGTGCTTGACTGGCCAGCAAACTCACCAGACCTGAACCCCAGAGAGAATCTATGAGGTATTGTCAAAAGGAAAATGAGAAACAAGAGACCAACAAATACAGATGAGCTGAAGGCCACTGTCAAAGAAACCTGGGCTTCCATACCACCTCAGCAGTGCCACAAACTGATCACCTCCATGCCACGCCGAATTGAGGCAGTAATTAAAGCAAAAGGAGCCCCTACCAAGTATTGAGTATATGTACAGTAAATGAACATACTTTCCAGAAGGCCAACAATTCACTAAAAATGTTTTTTTATTGGTCTTATGAAGTATTCTAATTAGTTGAGATAGTGAATTGGTGGGTTTTTGTTAAATGTGAGCCAAAATCATCACAATTAAAAGAACCAAAGACTTAAACTACTTCAGTCTGTGTGCATTGAATTTATTTAATACACAAGTTTCACAATTTTAGTTGAATTACTGAAATGAACTTTTCCATGACATTCTAATTTATTGAGATGCACCTGTATACATAAAATCAAATAAATATATTGTAAAGTTCACAAACTTTCGAAGTTCTTACAGCTTTCTTATTCACAGAGTCTCTGATACTGTCAATATATATAAATATTTCAGTCAACAAAACCATAAAGTTGGGTTACCTATTTATTAATGTCATTTTTGTTACATGATTTTGACATTTTTCATTAGTTTTTAATATTTCTATTTAGCTTTGTTTAATTTTATTTCAGTGTCAGTTTTAATTTAAGTTCTTTAACTTAAATTTCACTTTCAAGTTTGTTTTTGTCTAATATTTACATTTTATTTTATTTAAATGCTTTATTTAAATTACTTACAAATAACTGTGATCGTTTCTCACCTTTTTCAATGTATTTCAAAAGCATAGTGTAGTGATTTAAAAAAAAACAACAAAAAAAAACTTTTGACTTTAGTTAAAAAAAACAAAACAATTTGAGGCCAGAGGATTCCGGTTATGATAGACCCCGCAAATATGACATAAGAATAGCTGCCATTGTGGCTCTGGAGGATCATACTGTAATGTTAATCAAAGGAATTTTTTAGGCAGGGTGGAATACACTTGAGCCAAAATGGCGAACTGTTGCCGTGTTATATAAATGTTCAATCAGGAAGCATTTGGCAGGCAGCACTGCCATTTCACACCTGGTGGATTCAGAAAATTAGAGATTTTTTTTCCCTTTTCTTATATTTTTTTTAGCATGAGTAAAAGTTACTCAGTTTGTGAATAATACACTATTGTTGTATTACAAGAATTTATTTAAAGGGGTCATATGATGCTGCTAAAAAGAACATTATTTTGTGTATTTGGTGTAATGAAATGTTTATGCGGTTTAAGGTTCAAAAAACACATTATTTTCCACATACTGTACATTATTGTTTCTCCTCTATGCCCCGCCTTTCTGAAACGCGTCGATTTTTACAAAGCTCATCGGTCTGAAAAGCGAGGTGTGCTCTGATTGGCCAGCTATCCAGTGCGTTGTGATTGGCCGAATTCCTCAAGTGTGTAACGGAAATGTTACGTCCCTTACCATGTTGTGATGCCTGCGGCAACCACATGTGACGACCCCGGTGAAAGCCCATCCAGCGATCCACAGCGCAAAGTTGATGTATTTCCTCAGTGACCAGCACGGATCAGCTCCAGGCATGACGAAGCAGATATAGTCCTCTTTTGGAAGACCAAACAAAGTAGTTTCGCTTTCACAACGAAGCACACAGCGACTTCACGCCACGGCGGCAGCAACAACAATACTACAGCGAGAATAAAAGTTACGCCTTCTTTCTTTGCTTGAACATTTGGGTGGCATTATGCAAATCTTCCCACATAGTGAGGTAGACATGTGGGGGCGTGTTAGAACGAGCCGTTTTAGGTAGGCATTGCTGACTCTGAACTTTTATAAAGAGATATCTCTTTGGATTTGAGACTTTAGTCTTTGCAACTAAACAGATCTTCTTTATGCAGCAAGAGCTTGTAACACTCCAAAGAGAAAGGAAAAATTGAAATCGCATCATATGACCCCTTTAAAGAAAGTAATACTTTTATTCAGCAAGGCTGCAATAATTTGGTCAAAAGTGACAGTAAAGACATTTTTGTTACAAACGTTTTTTTATTTCAAATAAATGCTGTTCTTTTGAACTTTCTATTAATCAAAGAATCCTGAAAATAAATGTATCATGGTTTCCACAAAAATATGAAGCAGCAGCTGTTTTCAACAAATGTTTCTTGAGCAGCAAATCAGAATATTAGAATGATTTCTGAAGGATCATGTGACACTGAAGACTGGAGGAATGATGCAGAAAATTCAGCTTTGTTCACAGGAATAAATTACATTTTAAATACATTACTATAGAAAATGGTTCTTTTAAATTGTAATAATATTTCACAATATTACAGTTTTTACTGTATTGTTAATCAAATAAAAGCAGTATTGGGGAACAATAAGAGACATTATATATAAGAAAAAAAAAGAAAAAAGACCTCGAACTAAGGAAAAATTGAAATCGCATCATATGACCCCTTTAAAGAAAGTAATACTTTTATTCAGCAAGGCTGCAATAATTTGGTCAAAAGTGACAGTAAAGACATTTTTGTTACAAACGTTTTTTTATTTCAAATAAATGCTGTTCTTTTGAACTTTCTATTAATCAAAGAATCCTGAAAATAAATGTATCATGGTTTCCACAAAAATATGAAGCAGCAGCTGTTTTCAACAAATGTTTCTTGAGCAGCAAATCAGAATATTAGAATGATTTCTGAAGGATCATGTGACACTGAAGACTGGAGGAATGATGCAGAAAATTCAGCTTTGTTCACAGGAATAAATTACATTTTAAATACATTACTATAGAAAATGGTTCTTTAAAATTGTAATAATATTTCACAATATTACAGTTTTTACTGTATTGTTAATCAAATAAAAGCAGTATTGGGGAACAATAAGAGACATTATATATAAGAAAAAAAAAGAAAAAAGACCTCGAACTTTTGAACAGTAGTGCATCTATCAATTTTATTAATTATGTTAAACCATTGCCAAATTGTTTATCCTGAATCACAGACTAATTATTTAATCAGTGTTGGCCTCATTCGTGAAACAAGCAGAACGAGTGTAAAACACTTGCAAAAAAAAGGTTTGACATTTTATGTAATTTGTTGTATTAGAAACTATTTACACAGAAATTCCTTCCACTTGCGTTTCATGAATGAGGCCCGCTGTGTTCAGGGACATGTTTTTCACACGGGCAGGTAGCCAAAGTGTCTTTAAATCATGAATTAGAAGAGCAGCAGTGTCTGCTGTCGTCTATAAAGCAGCAGGCAGTGAAAGGACTGGTTCAGACTGCTGCAAACCTCACAATAGAGAGAGATCAGAGAAGGTGAACTCAACTTCTCTCAAACCCTCGTATGCTTAAATATCAACTGCACTCTCAATTTATTTC